CGAAGTTACTGAGCTTCTCTAATCAAAGAGATAAACTAGTCATGACATTGATGGATGTTAGAACTTTTCTGATCTCCAAAACAGGAAGGCACCTCTGCATATGCAAGGGGGTTAAGGTCTTTTATACTTTTCTTTCAAGATGTCATTGATAGTCAGATGTGAAGCTTTTCATTGCTGCTTCAAAAGTTGAGTTGAGACAATGTGACAAGAAGTTTTTGGCTAGAATTTTTTGGTGCTGCTGCCCTGTTCCAACAATAAAGAGTGGCAACTGGATTTCCTTTGCCTCACTATAACTATTTGCTGCTGTTATTGCTAAGGCACTTTTACCTTATTACTCCCCTAAAGTTTGGGATTAGTACCACCATTTAGCACCCGAAGTGCAATAACAATCTTCCTGCCAAGGTGTAAACTGGCACATGAGAGAAATGTATATAACAAAGTATATATTTTAAAGAGAAGGTGAAAAGGATTAATATAAAAAAGATAGCTGAACTAGAAACAAGGGTAAAAACTAGATATGTAGATTTTTGTACATCCAGTAGAGTCATCTCATCTTCATATTGATAAATTGAAAAATCCTATTATTTTGCTCTGTAGTCTGCATTTAACTTTTTCTTTCAGTGAAAATACATATATTATATTCAGTAGAAAACACATACAAATCAATCATAATACAGGGCTCGAACAGTCCAATTCGAACACACATCTTAGAAACGAAGGGAAATACGTTATGTCTTTGTTAAAGTAATTTTGAAGGTAATCTCCAGTCAAATTGGAATAGATATAAATTAAAGAAGGTAATTTTTCCAATTCATTAGGCTTGCATATGGATCTTGTGGTTCAACTGGAATATAATGATTGGTCATAGCTGGGGTGTGAAAGTCAATGGTTTTCTAAAAGCTTTTGTGGATCAACTTCCTTTGCTTTTGCTTCATAGAAGAACTTTTGGGGGATATATTACTTGGTTCATGGCTGTTGCTTTAAGTTCTGCTGTTAGGCTTTTGCCCTAAACCTACTTTTGTCACACTGCAATGGGGAGTGCATGGAGTGTAGGAGAGAGTAAATCCAGTGAAAAGAAATAAAGAATTTCTATTCCAATATATGACTCATGAGAACATTGTTGATAAGTGTTCAAAAAATATCCCTAGTTTCAAATCACATTTTATACACTGCTAATACTGTCTATATCAAACCTATTTTTGTGACTAACGCTCTATGTTTAATGCCCTTGTAGAGATTTGAAGCATATAATTCCAAAATGAGTTCTCAGGATCCAGATCTTGAGGGTGCAAATCATAACACCATGCCTGGATCTGGTTTTCAAGACAGGAAATCTCATCGGCAATTGAAACCAAGGTCTCCTCTTATCTATTCCAGTTCTTATGCTGGCCAGAAGACTTCTTTGGATTTGTATGAAGAATCTGCTCAGGAAACTACTCTTTGTAATAGCAAGAGAAGTAGGAATAGGATAAGATCCAAGCATGACCCTGAAGTAATGAGATCAGATCCTTTGTCTAGACATCATAGTCCATATGGTGGAATTGTTTCTGGTGAGCAAAGTAGGCCATTGCTTCATGATGTTGATAAAGTTTGCTCTAAGTTTGTTCAGAAAGGTGAATATTTCTCTAGACCTTCAAATTTGGTACTTGGATTTAGCAAATCTCCAGACATAAAGGAGAGAGGAATATCTACTGGAATAGAAAAGGTTTCTGTACTAGCTCAACCCTTTTCAGTTTATGCCCTGTTGTCCTACAGAAATTTGAAACTGTTTCTTGCATGGTTACAGATGGAGAAACTGTATGGAGGAAGGAAATCGATAAAGGAATGTGGAGATCGAAATTTATTAAAAATGCATCCAACGAATGGAATGAGGGTGTGTTTGAGCTGCTATTCTATTTTTGAAAAATATGTATTTATATACATCAGGCATATATACATAATAGGGACACAGGACAGATATGCTGATATGCACATATACCACATGCTCACACACATGCGCATGCATAAACAGACATGTTTTGATAACAAGTTCTGCTTTGTTTTTTCTAATACTTTAACTTTACAAGGCTGTAAAACGAGGCGGAATTGAGTTCTCTGGGCAAGATCAAGTGACAGAATTATCATATGGTGATATTTCGCCACCAAAACATCATATTAAGGGGTCAGTATATCTTTTCCCTCTCAATTGTGTTCTCTGTGCCGTGCATATGGAAACATGTATTTCTTCAAAATTCAACTGACAATTTAGTCTCCTACATCAAGTTGTATGGATTTTTTTTTAATTTCCTTTTCCTACATAGAATTGAACTGACAATTTAGTCTCATCTTTCAGATACCTATCTGGCTTTTGCGTTTTTTATCATTAAGACTTGCCAAATAAAGTTTTCATTGGTAGTTTTATATTATTAAGTTTGTAGTGGTTCTCCTACTATCACGAAGATCCAAAAAACACTAACAGTAGGGGGGCAAATGCCCGACTAAGATCCATCCACTGGGAAGGAAGGAGGAAATAAGGATCAAAACAGTTTTCTGCAACTAAATGTTTGCTTCAATCATTAGACTTTTGAGTGCATTGCATATATAAGAAGCAGGTTCTAACTTTACTCGGGTTACTTAGTTTGATTCAATCATTAGAGATGTGTGCTGTGTTCAAGTCAGAGATCCATCTCTATTAAAGGTTTGGTGACTCCCCTTCACCAAATCATTAGCATAACTGAAATCTTTCCTTCTTATTTTGGTTTTCCAATTATCATTGCATCATTCGCTAATCCTTAATCTTATTTCAAATATTGTTGCCCAGTTATCCAAAAGGTCTATCAACTTTCTGACTGCATTTTTTACTGGTCAGATCTGCTGCGGAAATGCCATCTAGTTTCAGCGAGGATGAAACTGCAGAGACTAGTTCTTCCCTGGATTGAGGAATCCAGTATAATCCTCACAATCACATCCTTGAGAGGCGGGCAGGAAGGGGATCAGACACCATAGTGGCCTAGCCAGGTTCATGGGGTTGTACAGTTGATGATAGGAACCAACTGGGTGTCATGGGGTTGTACAGTTGATAATAGGAACCTGTTGGAGTGAACAAAATTTCAGTGCTGGTAGAAAGGTGTAAGTTTGTGAGAAGAGTTTTTGTTTTGTGTTAGTTGTGGCAATGGATTTCCTTTGCCATTGATGTGCCCAGGTGTAAAAATTCTATTTTAATGGTGTTGAAGATGTTTATAGAGGAAAAACAAACTGTTGAATTTTGATTGTGAATTCACAGGTTGCTATCCTGGATGTATTACTGAAAGGACTTAAAACTATAGTTTTATTTCCCTGAGTTTTGATTTTGGTCTTATTTTTTTATCTCTGAACTTTTAAAAATTTGTATTAGTTCATGCCCATTAATATCATCATCATCATCATCAGATATTAAGTATTATGTATATTTACATGTAAGATATTTTATTTTTA